CCCCAGGAAAATTCAACCTAGGTCCCTAAAACTCCACCCCATGTCAGCGGGAAGTAGCCAGATTAGTTGCCGACCTTTAGCCCTTAAGATTAAGGAACTGCTACAACTCAAGGGGGGATAGTAACCTGACCTTACCAATGCTAGTACATTTCCATTACTCAGAAAAGACTGCCTTAAACTAGCCCAAGCCAGAGTTGGCCCTCTCCCCATGTGCAGAAGGGCCAGGTGTGACTGTTAATTGACCTCAACAGCAGGCACAGCAACAGGTGGAACGAATTAGAAGGAAAATCCTTCTACAATTTTCCCTCTCCAGTATGCCTATGCAGCCGCCATCTTGCTGCCCAAATCACATATAAACCCTGCTTCCCACCAGCTCGAAGAGTGGGATCTCAGGAACTCCCAGCTCCTTGTTCTGAGCGTTACAACAAGGTTACTTCGTCTTTCTCAAACACTGATGTCCAGATTATTGCCGGGTCAGAGCATGCTGGACAGAACCCACCTTCTAGGGTTCGGTAACACAACATGCTGCTGATTTAAAGAGGTAAGCTATGGAAATAAACTCTGAGTAAATTTCTTCATTGTGAATAGATGGGTTCTGTTGGAAAAAGTTTCCAAGTCAAACCAGCCCAGCCTTCAACATCTACAGAGAAAGAACAAGAGGGACTTGAGAACACCTACACAGTAGCTCACAGCTCACTATTTTAATACATTACATAAAAGAGGAATTGTGATATTAGACTAACTTGTTAAACTAGGTTTTGAGTGTTAATATAACTGCAAAGTGTGCATTCAAACAGTCTAATCATTGGAACCAGATACAGTCAATTTAAAAGGGAAAACAATGGAAATTCTTTAAAAAAATCAATGAAATTTGGGGCTAAAGTTAAAAATTGAGACTACATCATATTTAGAAAAGAATGACACAAGCTCATTATGAAATGTCACCAAAACTTATTTCAGAAGTTAATACTTAGAGAAAAGGTGAAATTCAGTACACTAAGACTTATTTTAATAAGCTTGAAAAAGAACACTGAATTATGATAAAACCATTTAAAAAAAATCTTTTAATGTTCCTTTGAAAAAGGCATCATGTAGTGACAGTAACTTCTTGTCCATTTTATCATCCCCCTACCCTACTCGTACCCCCACTCCAGGAAAAGGACAGAGGGTGACCCAATATTGACTGAGACAAGTTACTGCACTCTGACTGAATAGGGGTTGTTACGGAAGTTGTCTTCTGACACTAATAATTATAAAATGCACAAGCCTTATACACAGGAGTTTTGTAATTCTCATTCTCATCTGTATACGTCAAATAAGGTACCAATCAATACATCACAACTTATCCATATCTCATCAAGTCCCTACTCATCTGGATTTGGGTTCCCTCCTTCTGCATGACTGTGTCTCCCTCTGTCACTCTATATGTCTTCCTGTCTCTTCCTTTTTTTTTCTCTTTTTTTTCCCTGTTTTCCCCTCAGTTTCTCCTCATTTCCTTCTCCCCTGCTGTTTGTTTCCTTCTCTCTAGTCCTTCTCCTACACCTGTTCAGCCCCATTCTGGCCCTATTACACTTCTTGCTCTTTCCCCCAACCTGACTGTCCCACATCTCCATATATTTGTTTCTCTCTCCTCCATATCCGTTCCTCATTACACCTCCTCTACCCCCATTCTCCGGCATCTCCCTCGCTGAGTTCCCTCCCTTTTGTTTCTCCCTCTGATCTTCATGTCACCCCTTGAACCCGTTTCTGTCCTTGCACCAAGTAACTGTCTGCCATGACTCCCAACTCTTCATCCTCTTCCCTCTGTCTGAAATGCCGCCCTTCTTTGTCGCCCCCACTCCTACTGCAGACTAAGGGCTCCCCTCCCTATTTTTCTCCCCTTCACCTCTCAAAATAGATCCCCCTATTTAGATTTCTCCCTGCTGCTCTCTCGATTTATTCTCTTTCCACTGTTCTGTCTTTGGAACGCCCTCCCCCGGCCTCTATTTTGCCATCTGTTTATGTCCTCCCTCAGTCTTTTCTCCCTCTCGGTATTTCTATTTCTCTCGTAGCTGCTGTCTCTCTCTCTCTCTCACGACCTCGTCCACACATGCACAGGGATGGAACGAGACGCCTGCTGCCCGTGAAGAGCACACTTTCCGAGGGGTGGGATTGGGGACGGAAGAACACTGGGTGTCACGGGGCACACCTGGGTCCCCTCCCCCAACGCGGAGGTCAGGGAGGAAACAGTGACTGCGAAGGGGACGCCGGCGGGGCGGCGGGACCCAGCCAGAGGAAGTCGCGAGGACAGGGTCTCAGGAGCGAGGGGGGTCTCAGAGTCCCTGGGGCAGAACAGGACGCGGCACCCAGGGCTGCCCTCAGAGGGACAGACTGGGGGGCGCCAAGGCCGGGAACCCATCTCCCGGTGAGGACTTGAACCGGCACAAGGCGGGCAGGGGTCAGGGAAGGGTTTTAAGCTGGAAGACGACGCGGCAGGCGGCGTTTGCAAGGCCCGAGGGCAAAAAGGCCAGGACGGGGACCCACCACGGCGCGATTTTACAACCGAAACTGACGCGGATCCCCGGCGGGCGGCGGAGCCCGAAGGCTGGAACGTCTCACGGCCTCCGGCGAAGGCAAAGGCGGGTGAGATAATTTTAACCCCCCGGCCCCAGGTTTGTTGGACGAGGGACAGCGAAACGCAGGATTAAACCAGAAATTTACCTCAGCACAACCTGCCCTCCAGTCAACCCCCATCTGCGTCTGCAGGCGCGCGGCAGCCAGAGCCACAAGGGTGTGGGGGCGGGGCCTGGGCGGAGCGCTACGGGCAAGGGGCGCGGCGTTGAGAGGGGCCTGGCCTCGGTAGGGATCGCAGGAAGGAGGGGCGGCGGCGTCGGGCCTAGTGTGCCGTCTGCCTCCCCTTAGGAAGTCTCTGTTTTCTGGCTTTGGAAACCCTGAAATCTCTTTAATGTCCCGTGGAGAAGGGTTGCTTCCTGCCTATTTTAATGTTTTATACACTTTAAGGTAAAAGCTTAGAGTTATGTGGGACACTTATGTTGGAAGCTATTGTCCCCACAACACGTTGAAAAGGATTTTAGTCTGCGCATTCTTGGCCACAGCCGCAGCCCCACCCCTCGCAGGTCTTGCCTTTCTTCGTCCGCGCCCCCGCACAGGCCCCGCCCCTATGTTTACTCCTTTCCCACCCAAGGAGGTTCCCTGCGCAGTCCGGACCAGGACCCTAGGCTGGCTTTTCGCCGGCTAAGGTCCCGCCCCTCGCCCACCTCGGCCCGCCGCGCACGCACAGTTTCCTGCACACCGGAAGCTGATCGGGCTAAGTTACGGGTGCGTTAGGTGAGTGATTTTTCTTTTTTCTGGTGCAAACCTGCGCCTCGCGGTCCCGCAGGTCCGATCTTCCACACTTGGGGTCCATGCGTCGCTGCGATCGCACCTGCTTGTCTCGTGATGAGTCCTTTATCTCGCCGGGTAAAGTCCTCCCTTCGGATTTGGGTCCAAGCCCTTTGCGCCCATCGGCCCCTAGCCCGCGTTCACTCCCTGGCCCTGGGATTCTGCAGATCCCACCTTCTTCCTCTCGTCCTCTTGAGTCGCCCCGCTCTTCCTCTGCCCCTTCTCCCACTGTCTGCCCCTTCGTAGTCACCGCCTTGGGGAAGGCCCTGATCCCGGTGGGGCGGAGGTGACTTTCACCCATTCGGTGAAAACAGAGAAATCTGAACAAAAAAATTTTTATTTCCCAGAGACATGAAGGGGGACCTTGACTAGCGGTGGTAGTGGGGAGCAACAATTTAGAGTAAAAGTTGTAGCCATGGAAGACAGAGATTCTTGGTGCTGCCACAGAAAGAGGGGGTAGAGGATGACAGGGAGAGCAGAAAGAGAAACAGAGCCGGGAGCGAATTTAGCAAGCTGAGGGGAGCAGAGTGCGAAATAGTGGGGAAATAAAAAAATCTCCAGCCAACCTGGAAAACCTCTCCACAAAAGTAGAAAAGAAAGAAAACAGTTTTATTATTGAATAAACATTAAACCAGAATGTGGTGCATCACAGGCAATCTGCTAAAGATTGCAGAGAGAAATATAACTCTTTATGTAGCTAAGTAGATGCAACCCTTTTCATACATGTTCTCAAAGGATAACTCGTTCTCAAGTAAGAGCCCATGATAGCACCAGTTGTCACTCAGTTCCTCCTAAATTCACCTGGCGATTGGGGTGGCCACCAGTGTTTACTAATTGCCTTTACCCAAAGGAAAAATAAACTACTCATATCTTTATTAGGAGCCCTGGCAGTATAGTGGTTAGGAGCTCTGCTGCTAACCAAAAGATCGTGGTTAGAATCCACTAGCTGCTCCTTGGAATCCCTGTGGGGCCATTCTACTCTGTCCTGTAGAGTCACTGTGAGTCCGAATTGACAGGATGGCAACGGGTTTGGGTTTTTTTTTTTTTCCCCTCATACTTTTATTACAGGAGGTAGTTTTGCGCAACTTGGAACAAGGTGCCAACCCAAGTTAGGTTCCTACCCTCCCACAGGCTTGGTGACAGGGGCTCTATCTGCTTTGATCAGTTCTCTCTGCCTCTTCCACTGCCTGGATCCATGTGAAAGCACCACCCGAGCAGAGAACAAAGCCACGAGGTGGGAGGTGTGCTGCGTTTGCCTCCTCTGAGCAGGCTCATCGCTGGCTCCACACTGGATTTTGAGGCATTTTGTAGATTCATTGTTGTTCCCCCTCCCCAGAGAGTCTCCCTCCAACAGTTGGGGTTGGGCCCAGCCTTTATAATGTTTACCTGCCCCAGGTGATTCTAATCTGCATGCAGCATTGCGCACCAAGGCGCTAGGTCCTCCATTTCTGAGGCTGAGACCAGCCCCTGATCCAGGGAAGCTGAGGGGACTCTGCTGTCCATGGGATGTGGTGTCAGGGCTGGTCTGGGACCTGAAGGGTGGGTCAGTCCAGCCCAGAGCCCCATGCTACATCCGAGTGTGGGCTTTACCAGGAGGGGTGGGCGATAAATTCACCTGTTGGTCTCCCTGTAGGAGTTTATTGTCCCTGAGTGCCTCCTGGGACAATGGGCAGCAGGGACTGTCTTTCCCCATGGTGGGGTCCTCCCTGTATGTGGTTGTGGCACAAGAAGTTGGATATATTGATTCTAACCATTTAACAGCATATTTTTTGACACTCAGGATTGACTTCTCAAGACTGATCTTTGCCTGAGAAAGAAACCCGGAGTCTGGAATGGCTCTTTCCCAGGTAACTGTCATATTCTCAGTTGGTGGCTCTGTCCTCTCCTTTCTGAAATGCTGTTGTGAGATTTGCTCTTCTCCTCTGACTCCGACGTGTCCTGCCTGACACGTTGGCTTGCACTCACCCAGGGCCTTCCCTCTGTCCCCTCTCACCTCCACACAGATTCCATCTCACCATGACCCAGAAACAAGGGACTTGTGAAGAGGCTCTGTTTGGGGAACGTCCTCCTGGGAAGAGCTTCACACCAGGCCTGGGTGGGAGATAAGGAGTAGGCCCCATGGGGGCAGCAGGGTGGGTTTAGGGGCAGCATCTGAATGTCCTGTCAGTTCTCTATGGCCCAGGATTAAAGCAACCACACATCTATATGCTATATTAATATGTGGGACAGCTGGAAAATTCTAGAAAAGGAGATTGATAAGGGGAAACCTGCTGTGCCTGATTTTATATGCATTTGTGGCCAAATAACATGCATCAGTGTGTTTATGACTTCAGAATGTTAATGTTTTTGACTGGAGTGGGAAGTTCAGCAACAGACATCGGCGATAGAGGGTGTTTTATTTCCTCTTCCCCTGTAGGGTTGCTGTGAGTCAGAATTGACTCGATGGCAACAGGTTTGGGTTTTTTGGTTTTGGCTCTGACACAGGCATCCCATGCAGTGATGAATGGCAGAGCCCTGGCCAGTCCTCTTGTCTCAGGCTTTCCTTTAGTGGAAACGCTTCCAGTGTTGACTGCCGATCATGACGTTTGCTGAAATTTTCTTGTTTAATAACACTTCTTTTAATTTTTTATTTGGCCAGATTTTTAATTATCCAATATTTTTTCGAGGATCTACTGCTGTGAGTAATCTTTTTTCCTATTTTAATCTGTTAACGTATAACATCAATAGATTTTCTACTCTTGAATCATTGTCTTGTTAGTGGAATAAAGTCCATTTAGCTTATGTTAATGGCTAAATATCTAAATTTAAATTGATAAAATACTGTTATTTTACAACTATACAGTTTACACATGTACTTATTGGACAGACACTAGCGGTAAAGTTTTCCATGTATTTTTTTCATTTTTTATACAATTTTATTTACCAGGCTGTTATAATGTTAAGAGCCTGATGTAAATTAAATACAATTTATAACACCAAAAATGTTGAAAATGCATGGGAGTATAAAATGATAGATAATGAAATTCATCCCAAAAAAGTCTGTCGTTCAGAGACAACTCCTTTTATTGCAATTAATTTAAAAGAATATATGTGCATGTGTGTGCGTATATGTGTGCATGCAGGAGCACATAGTATGTATAAAAGACATATCATCATTTCAGAAATAAGTTTTTTTTTCCTAAATTTTATTTATTTTGTTGTGGTTGTTGAGAATATACACAGCAAAACATACACAAATTCAGCAGTTTCCACATGCACAATTCAGTGACATTCATCGAGTTGTGCAACAATTCTCACCCTCCTTCTCTGTGTTGTGCACCCCTTGTTAACATAAACTCACTGTCCCATAAGGTTCCTATTTAACCATGAATAAGTTTTATCTTTGTTTTAATCTTTGAAAATATGTATTACATGTTTTCTAGGACCTGAAACTTCTTCTACACTACCATGTTAATGAGTTAATGGTACAAAGAATAATAATTTCATTGTGTGTGTGTGTGCACGTGTATGATGACCATTTAATCCAGTTTCATTTTGTTGGCCTTGAACTTGTTTCAGATTTTCTCATTAGGAAAACCTCTGTCAGTGTACTTTTAATGTTGTATCTGTTACTTAACTATTGGATTTTTTAGGCTCAATTCTGAAGGCCAACCACCTGGGTTCAGAAGCAGGTTCTGTTTGACCTGAGGCGAGTTTTTTAGAGTCTTTAACACAGTTGTCTGCTCTGTAACGTGGCAACAGATCTGTCTCTAATTGGCTATTAAGTTGTTATACGAATTAGTACATATAAGGTGTTTAGAGTAGTGCTTTGCACTTGGGTAGTTTCAAAACTCTGTGGAGTTCTACTCGGCACACATGGGGTGGCCATGAGTCAGAATTGACTTGACAGCAACTCACCATGACAACATTATTATCTTCACATTTTTTTCAATTCTGACCTTTCTTAAAGCCACTGTGGAGTTTTATCATCCCTGAAGCCAGCACTCGTTCCCTAGCTCATCTAGAAATTGAATATCACTTGGTGTGTAGAACATAATATATAGACTTTTACAGAGATGATTCTGTGTTGACTGTTTTTCATTTGTATCTTTCTTTTCTTGTCCACAAAAATATATCCTCTGATAGAAAAGTATAATAAAATTAGGGACATATAACTTGTCAAAATTATCTTACTTGGATCCGTCAGAACATTCCTGTTGGTCAAATTGATCCTCAGTATCTCTTTCCACCTCACATTTTGTGTGAGGATAAGAACTCTTCCCCACTGCCACTTGGTGAAATGTGTTTTTCATTGCAGGGACTGTTGACATTCAGGGATGTGGCCATAGAATTCTCTCAGGAGGAGTGGGACTGTCTGGACCCTGCTCAGAGGGCTTTGTACAGGGAGGTGATGTTGGAGAACTACAGGAACCTGGTCTCTGTAGGTGAGGATAACTTCCCTCCAGAAGTCGGGATCTGCCCTTGTATATCATTGCATTTTCCCCAGTGAGTCTCCCTGTTTTGCTTGACTGAGATTGAAGCTGTGCGGATGCAGAAACAAAAAGCTTCATAATATGGCATCTGGACTTTAACCTTCCCCTTTCTTCAGATGATGTACACTTCATGCTAGATCAGTGGTGGTTCTAGAGGTTGAGTAAGCACAAAACCTAATGGCAGACTTCTGAAATATCTTATTCCTTGGTTTTCCCTGGGGCTTTTGGTTCAGTAGTTCTGGAAGAAAGCTAGGTATCTGCACACATAAAATATTCCTTAAGCATTCAGAAGGAGTCAGTGGATTATCTTGTGAACTATTTTTCTAGATCCATCTGTAATATCCTCTCTTCTCAGCTGAACAAAGGGCTGGGATTGTATTCTGGAAAAGCCACAGCACATCATGTACCTTTTTTCACATAAACAGGAGTCTTTCTGAGCTGAATATTATTTCCATTTTGGAGCAAGTTGAAAGAACTCTGAACTGTGGAGAGCGAGGTGCAAATAGCGTGAAAAACAAGCAGGTGGGTGGGAATGTATCAAAGGTGTCAACACAGGTAAGAGTTCAAATGAGCCGATGGGAAGCTGTACCATTAAATGTTGTTTGAGAAACTGTTACGGATTGAATTGTGTCCCCCAAGATGTGTCAGAATTCTAACCCCTATACCTGTGGATATAATCCCATTTGGGAATAGGGTTTTCTTTATGTCGATGAGCCCGTATCAGTGTAGGGTGTGTCCTAAACTTTATCACTTGTGAATTATAAGGAGCAGCATATACAGAGACACAAGGATGCACAAATAGGGGGAGAGAGATGCCACAAGAAGACTGCCAAGGAACCGAGGAACACTGGGGCTACAGGAGCTAAAGGAGACAAGGCTCTTCCCCAAGAGCCGGCAGAGAGAGCCTTCCCCTGTGGCCGGTGTCCTGAATTTGTACTTCTCCTAGCCTCCTGAACTGTAAGAAATTTCTGTTCTCTAAAGCCACTCACTTGTTTTATTTCTGTTAAAGCAGCTCTAGGAAACCAAGACAAAAAGTCTCCCTAAATGGGAGAGGTCTATGGAACAAAAAAGTTTATTTCTTGTGAGCTTTCTAAGGTAATTTTTCTTTCTCCCCACTTATCACTCTGCTTCAGATGTGGAAAAATTCATCCTGCCACTTTCCTTGGCAACTTCAGTGTTTTCTCCATTTAACATGCTGTTCCTTATTGGTCCAGGTGTGGGGATTTTTTCTTTATCTTAAGGTGCAGTCCATGCTGACTGTCATCTTTGATTTTCATCTTGAATATACCATGGACTGCCAGAAGACTGAACAAATATGTCTTGGAGGAAGTACAGCCAGAATGCTTCTTAGAAGTGAGGATGGCGAGACTTTGTCTCACTTACTTTGGATGTGTTACCAGGAAGGACTAATCCCTAGAGAAGGACATCATGCTTGATAAAGTAGAGGGTCAGCGACAAAGAGGGATACCCTCAATGAGGTGGACTGAGACAGTGGCTGCAACATTGGGCTCAAAAGTAACAATTGTGAAGATGGTTCGGGACCAGGCAATGTTTCGTTCTGTTGTACATAGGGTTGCCATGAGTAGGAACTAACCTGACAGTATGTAACAACAGTTACAAGCCACTCTAGTGGTGCTCTAGCTCATGCAAATAACTCTGTCAGGATCTACATCACGCTATTATCTGCCCCCTTATGACCTCTTTGGTACCTTGGCCTTGAGAGGCACAGGAAAGGCTGTTTATAAGGAGTCCTCTTTTTTCCTTGGTCTTTCCTATACTGAGTTCTCCATCCATAGAAATCAGAGCCGAGCTTTTCCTAGTTCTGACCCCATGCCCTCTCCAGGTTCCATTCCCATTTCACTTACTTGGAAGACCTTCTCATGGAATGGGAACACATTGGCTGCTCTTCTATTACATCTAGGGCCTCATGAAATTTCATGGGACTGTCTCAAGCCCCCTCTGCCTTTTCAGGCCTGTATTGGTTTCCTAGGGCTGCCATAACAAAATACCACAAACTGGGTGGCTTAAAATAAGAATTTATTGTCTCACAGTTCTAGAGCCTAGAAATCTTCAAATCAAGGCATCAGCAGGGCCATACTCTGAAGGCTCTAGGGGAGGATCCTTCCTTGCCCTCTTCCTAGCTTCTGGTGGTTCCTGGCAATCCTTGGAGTTCCTTGGCTTGTAGATGCATCACTCCAGTCTCTGCCTCCGTTGTAACATGGTGTTCTATCTTGTGTGTCTCTGTCTTTGTGTCTCTCCTTTTCTTATATGGACCTCATTTATATTGGATTAGAGCCCTAGTGGCACAGTGGTTAAGAGCTATGGCTGCTAACCAAAAGTTTGGCAGTTTGAATCCACCAGCAGCTCCTTGGAAACCCTATGGGGCAGTCCTCTGTCCTCTAGGGTCATTTTGAGTCAGAATTGACTTGATGGCAATGGGTTCTTTGTTTTACTCCAGTAAGACCTTATCTGAAGTATCTAGTGCAGCTATAACAGAAATACCACAAGTGCATGGCTTTAACAAACAGAAATTTATTTTCTCACAGTTTAGAAGGCTAGAAGTCTGAATTCAGGGCACCGGCTCCAGGGGGAGGCTTTCTGTCTCTGTTGGCTCCTGGGGAATGTCCTTGTCTCTTCAGTTTTTGTTTCCTGGTTCCTTAGAGATCTCCATGTGGCTTGGCATCTATCTTCCCCCATCTCTGCACGTTATCTATGCCTAATCTGCTCCTTTTATATCTCAAAAGTGATTTGCTTAAGACACATCCTACACTGATTACGTCCTCATTGACATAACAAAGAAAACCCATTCTCAAATGGGATTATAACCACAGGAATTTACAACACATATTTTTGGGGAATACAATTCAATCCATAACAACCTCATGTTAACTAATAGTATCTTTAAAGACTGTATTTCCAAACCAGGTCACAGGTAATGGGGGTTAGGACTTGAACATATCCTTTTCTGGGGACATAATTCAAACCATAACAAGGCCTCTCAGCCATTTCTTCAGTTTTCGCTTTTCCACATGCGAGGAGTATGTGTAATGGGAAAGTAGAGTGGGTCTTTTGAGATTCCTACTCTGTAATATTGTAGACAGTGGAGAGAGAGACTCTTTATTTGATCCTTACGGGGACCGTTTATCAGTCTTTCAGGAGCTCAGCCTGGGGCCTCTTGACAGAGCACACAGCTCCTTCCTAAGGACCCCACAAATCTTGACCCTTTTACTTTACTCCCATATCTTATATTTTTCTCCTTCTACCTAGTCTGAAAATGTAGAAAACCTTGGCTTTTCTGATTTCATGTTCTCCTAAGTTTGTGTGATTTTTCTGTCTGAAACTTGGTTTTGAATACACCTTCCTAGAGTCTGAAATGTCATCGTCTTTTTCTGGTGTGACATCCCACCCTTTAGGTGATGGACAACTTCTGGTGGATTCTCTGGAGGGGGTTTATTGGGTAATAGGAAATTCTTGCAGGAGAACACTTTGATTAGTATGTTACAGTATTATCATGCTACTTACAGAAGTGCCCCTTGAAGCCACAGAGTAGTGTGGTCAGCATGTTCCCAGATGCTGAGATAGAAAATGTCGTGAGAGTCTGATAAGTCATTTAGGGATCTTCCTGGTTTTTGTAGCTATCACAAAAATGTCACTCAAAGGCATTGTGGCAGTGCTGCTCAAATATACTGATGATCATCCTCTTTGAACTGGCAGTTACAGTTGTAGGAATTTATCCTCGAGACAGTATTTTCCAAGTTCACAACCTTACGTCTGAAGTTTTTGACCAAACTGTTGTTCACGTCACATTGTTCATCCCATGTTTATTCTCCTTCAACAAATATAATTTTGAGGCCTCTTATTGAGGGAGCTTAGGAAGTTGAATGATGCCTACATTTTTTAACTGTACCCTGATTTGTTTAAGCCACTGTTACTTCCAGCTTGCACATTTCCATCTAGTGTAAATGAACTTTTTTTTTTTTTTAAATCATCAGTTACATATTTTGGATATCTGCAGTGTATGGGAGCTTTTGGAATGTGGAATGGATATTGTTTTATATATTATACAAGAAGACTTCCCTCTTGAGTTGAGAGTTGTAGCTCAGGAGTAGTTTTGCCAAAACCTATACAACCTCCAGAATTCTGTGAAATGATATCTTAGTTATTCCTTTCACTTCTGTTTCATCTGACTTAGTACCTGTTAAACTACACTTTTCACATTAAATTGGATTTTTTTTAAGTTGGCAATTTTGGATATTTTGAGAATATACTTAAGTTACTGTCTTCATTCCAGAAATACCATTAAATTCATTTGCTGTAATTTATGTAAAACACAGTGCTTTTTCTATAGTATATTTTAAGTTTTCTAAACACACCTTGTTGAGTTTTAAGGTCCCTAGGTGGTGCAAACGGTTTGCACTCCACCACTAACCTAAAGGTTGGTGGTTCAAACTCACCCAGTGGTACCGTGGAAGGTAGGCCTGGCAATCTGCTTCTGTTAAGATTACAGCCAAGAAAACCCTATGGAGCAGTTCTACTTTGTAACACATGGGGTTGCCATGAGTCAGGGCTGACTTGACAGCAATTAACAACAACAACAAACATAACTTGTTGGGTTTTACTTGAATATTCGACTTTTTATGTTTTGGTACAAATGCTTTATTCCGATAATTATTTTCCCTGTCTAGGTATACTGAACTAATATTTAAATATCTCATTGTAATTCATAGGAAACTTAACTAGTTTCTTGTATTTCATAAGTTCTGCAAATAGCATTCTGCAGTTAACCCGTGAAGGCTGTTTTGTTCCTGTCTTCCCTTTTAAACTGAATTCCATAAAAATCCACCTGGTCCTTGTGATTCAGATCTTGGTGCTATCCTGTTTTTCTCTGGCCACTATTGGCTTTTTATGTTATTGACCACCTCTGTATAACAACCTCTTCCAAGGGTCTCTGTGGAACTGCCTGCAGTTGTTTCCACACTTAACTGCTGCTGCTAACACTGCCTTTCAATACAAGCCATTTCACTCTCTGGGTCATTTAGTTACTTGCCCTAAAGTTTACTTACATTCTCCTGATGATTTTTGTGAAGTCAGAATTTATTAATTTTGGATAAATGCACATTAATTCTCATTTATTCATAATAAGAACTATGTACTAATACATATAGTAAGAGCACCCTTGTCTCTTTTATGTCAGGGATTGTGTTAAGAGTTCCAAAGATATGATTTCAAATAACTAGAGGAGCCAGCAGAGGTTGTTATTGTTGTTAGTTTTTGTCGAGTCAGGGCCGACTCATGGCTACCCCATGTGTGCAGAGTGGAAATGTTCCATAGGGTTTTCAAGACTGTGACTTTTTGGTAGCAGATTGCCAGGCCTGTCTTCCAGGGCGCCTATGGGTGGGTTTGAACTGCCAAACTTTTGGCTAGTTGTTGATTGCTTAACTGTTAATTTTTCTCCTTTTCCCTTTTTATTTTCTTTTTAAATACAGTATGTAATAAATTTTAAAAAACGTGTAATATCCATGTATGTTATACAGCCCAAGAATATGATGAACACCTTTAAACCTATATGTAACACAAGGGTAAAATATCAGTAAATCTTGTATCTATCTATGTGCATAAAAATGGCATGGCAGGGGCATCTGACCTCCTCTAACTTCACAAGAGGGAAGGAGAATCAAGATCAACAGCCCAAGGCTGATTTCCTATGAGGCAGAGGTCAGACATGCCTCCACCCTCCAACCATTTTACCAATTCTGACACCAACCGTCCCTCCCACAGCACATTCTACTTCTCTGCTGAGTTCAGTAATTCATTGCAATGGCCACATGGGGCTCACAGCCAACACTCGCAGTTATGGGGTTTATTAGGGAAGTAACAGGTTACAGTTCGGGTTCAGGAATGCTCAGAATACAGTTCTTCCATCAGGATAGTCTCTTCTCAGCATTGGCCACAGGCATACCTGTCTTTGGCCCTCAGCCTGGTGTTAACAAAGCTCTCTTAGCTCTGCCAATAAGTACCCAGAGGCACCCCACTCCACCAGTAAGCCTTGGCCCAAAGGTGCTCAGTCTTATCTCCGTGGGTCGGCAAACCTAGCTCTACCAAGTGCCTGGAGGCACCCTACTCTGCTAGCAAGCCTTCTGCCCGAAAGCACTCAGCTTTCTCGCTCCTTGGGCTGGGAAGCCTACCGCACTGTCTCCTGCCAGTCTCCTGCCTCTGCTGCTACTGTTTTTCTGCTGCTGCTTCTCACCATCTTTGGTGTTACAGCTCGCTCTCTCTCGGTCTCCTGGTTCTAGGAATTTCTCAGTGCAGGGATCCAGGGTCCAAAGGACGTGCCCTTCTCCTGGTTCTTCTTTCTTGGTAGTGGTGAGATTCTCTCCTCCCACCTCTGGGATGGCTCATTTTAAGCCTAGTGGGATGGCAAAACTGATCAATCCCTTTGTTACAGTTCCATACACCTTATTTGCATAGTCCCACTCAGTCACTGTGTGCAAAGACTATGGCTAGAAGGCATATTAAGTAATTCATTGCACCACAATGTGCTCTTTGCCTCCCACCCAGTCATAATCCCCTCCTCAATTTTGGATTTATCATTCCCTTTATTAACTTATCTTAGTGCTTTATAGCCTATGTATGCTGATTTATTTTAATTTACCATCTTAAGTGTATTATTTACTGGCATTTAATACATTCTTTGTTGTTGTTAGCTCCCATTGAGTTAGCCCCTGACTCGTGGCAACATCATGTACAATGGGATCGGACCATTGTGATCTATAGGGTTTTCAGTGGCTGATTTTTTGAAAGGAGATCTCGAGGACTTTCTTCCTAGTCTGTAAACCACTGATTAAGTTTCTGGTGTTAAAAAAGTTGATTTTCGCTTTTTTTACTAGTTTATTCACTGTTTTTGTTGAAGACATACTTTAGGAGTTTTCCTTCTCTGCCATTTTTGCTGATGTAACCTTTCCCCAATTCTTTATAATACTGTGAAGGAGCCTGGGTGGTGCAAGAGTCAGGGGCTGACTCGATGGCAGCTAACAAGAAGAAGAACAATAATACTTTGTATTTACCTAAAACTGTTATTTTAAAAATCAGTGATTCTGCACATATTTCCCAGTTCTAATTTTATGTGTTCCTTCTAGAATAGAAGTCTTTTATAATTCTTCAGAATTTCACAGGCTGTAATTTTGTATAATTTTGTTTACTTATTATTTACCTGTTGTAGATTCATTTCCAGTTACTAAAGTGTTTTATTTATTAATTTTTATATGATTTACATGTGATAGATTTTTCAGTATGACTATACAGCAGTGGGTTTGAGTTTTTTTTGTTATTATGGAATATAACTGCAGAGCATCAATTGTTAATGTTGTAAAATGTCTAAACTGCATGGGTATAGGTGGATTTTTAACAGGTATTTAGAAGAATACTTTGCTATTCTTCTAATGGTGTTAAATTCTTCCTGACTTTCCTATTACAGTTTTAGCTTTGCAATTCTGGGTTGCCATTTATCTTATTCATTACAGAAATTTCTTTGTGGGTTATTTACCATTACATTACATAGTGCTGTGCTTTAGCATTTATATAAAAAATTATACAGTAAATATGCATTAATATAATATCTCTTCAAATATGAAGCATTCATTTGTCTACTGCCAATCAGAGTGTGCTTTGGGGTGGTGGAAGGAGCCCTGGTGGCACAGTGGTCAAAGAACTTGGCTGCTAACTGAAAGTTTGGCAGTTTGAACCCACCAGCCATTCTGTGAGAGAAATGTGGCAGTCTGCTTCTGTAAAGTTTAACAGCCTTGGAAACCCTATGAGGCAATTCCACTCTGTCCTATAGGATAGCTATGAGTCGGAATTGACTCGACAGCAGTGAGTCTGGTTTTGGGGTTTGGGGTGGTGCTGGAAAAATCCTCCTTCTTTCAAGGCTTATGTATGTCTAAGCAGTGTCAATGATTTAGTCACAGGGTCTTTGAAACTAAGTTTTCCTTAAAATAATATGAATTACATGTAATCACCTTTTATTAAAGAATCCTATTCCTTTTGTGTTCCCAAACATTACATGGTTGAGAAATTTCATAAATCTGTTCATTATGAGTATTACTTTTGGTGTAATATTGTTTTTCAATATAAAATATTCATTTTCTAACTCTAGTTAATAGAAAGTTATGTTTCTTTATATCTTTCAGATATCTTTGCTAGAAAAGTTATAAACAAATTATTACCAAAACAGGACAATAATAAAGGAGAACTACACCATCCAGTGATCTTAGAAAGACATGAAAGCCATGGCATTGAGGATTTTGACTTCAGGGAAGTTTGGGAAAATATGCATGAATTTGAAAGTCAATGGGGATATGATCAAAGAAATTACAAAGGAATGACTACAACCCAGAACAAAAATCTCAGTGGTACAAAAGAACAGCACAACAAATCCTGGAATAACTTACATCTGGAGCAGAGTATTTCTGTGAGAAAAAGTATGTACCAATATTTGAAACATGACAAGTCATTTATAAGGAATCTGTTAAAACTAAAATATAACATAGGCTATGCAGCAAACAAGTCTATAAAATATTTTGAAAATAGGCTTGGATTAAACTTTCCATCATATCTGGATGAACTGCAGAGATTTCAAACTGAAGAGAAAATTTATGAATGCAGTCAAGTTGAGAAGTCCATAAAAAATTGTTCCTCAATTTCATCACTTCAAAGATTTCCTCCTATTGTCAAAACAAACATTTGTAATAAAAATGGGAAAGATTTTTTGTCTCCTTTGCCTACACAACTCCAGACAACACACATTAGAGAAAAACCTTATAAATGTAATGAATGTGGGAAGACTTTTAGCCAATGCTCAGTGCTCACTAAGCATGAGAGAATTCATTCTGAGCACAGACCTTACAAATGTAATGAGTGTGGCAAAGCCTTTAAGCAGTTCTCCAACCTCACGAGACACCAGAGAATCCATACTGGAGAGAAACCATATAAATGTAATGTATGTGGTAAGGTCTTTAATCAAAATTCCCACCTTGTAAGTCATTGCAGAATTCATACTGGAGAGAAACCACACAAATGTAACGTGTGTGGCAAGGTCTTTAATCAAAATTCCCACCTTGCAAGTCATTGTAGAATTCATACTGGAGAGAAACCTTACAAATGTATGAAATGTGGTAAGGCATTTAACAAACGTTCATACCTTTGGGATCATGAGAGAATTCATACTGGAGAGAAACCGTACAACTGTACTGAATGTGGCAAGGCCTTTAGGCAATGGTCTAGCCTCAGGATTCACCGAAGAATTCATACTGGAGAGAAACCTTACAAATGTAACGAATGTGGCAAAGCCTTTAAGCAGTGCTCACACCTCACTAAGCATCAGAATATACATCCTGGAGAGAAACAACACAAATGTAATGTGTGTGGCAAGACTTTTATTCACGGTTCAGGTCTTGTAAAACATCAGAGAATTCATACCGGAGAGAAGCCACACAAATGTAATGAGTGTGGTAAAGCTTATATCCAAAGTTCAAGCCTTGTGGAACATCGGAGAATTCATACTGGTGAGACACCTTACAAATGTAATGAGTGTGGCAAAACTTTTACTGTACGTTCAAGTCTTACTAAACATAAGAGAAACCATACTGGAGAGAAACCTTATAAATGTAATGAATGTGGCAAAGCCTATACCAAATTTGCACACCTTACTAGACATCAGAAAATACATTCTGAAAAGAAACATTGTGAATCAGATGTAGGTGGCAGTGCTTTCATCCACAGCTCAACCCTTGGGGGTTGTCAGAGAGCACACAGTAGAGAGAAACCTTACAAATGTAATGAGTGTGGCAAATCCTTTAACTGGTCCTCACGCCTTACTCGACATCAGAGAATCCATACTGGAGAGAAACCATATAAATGTAATGTATGTGGCAAGGCCTTTAGTCAAAACTCAAACCTTACAACTCATCAGATAATTCATACTGGAGAGAAACCATACAAGTGTAATGAATGTGACAAAGACTTTAAGCAGTACTCAAGCCTCATTAGACATCAGAATATACATCCTGGGGAGAAACCTTACAAATGTAGTATGTGTAATAAGGCCTTTATCAGACATTCACACCTTTGGGGTCACGAGAAAATTCATACTGGAGAGAGAACCTACAAATGCATTGAATGTGGCAAGACCTTTAGGCAATGGTCTGACTTCAGGATTCACCAAAGAATTCATACTGGAGAGAAACCTTAGAATGTAGTGAGTGTGGTAAATCATTTAACCAAGTCTCCCAGTGGACTACACATCAGAATTCATACTAGGGAGAACTAAGTCTCTACTTCCCAAAGATTAATCAACCTCAGAAAGTCCTACATAGTGATTTAAAGTCAAAATCCTAGATGATGGTGTCAGTGTAACAAGATCTGTGCAAAGATAAATTCCTTCATTTTATAATGTATTTTTTTCTGATATTTGATGTTTCTTGAAAAGGCTATGTTACTATTGATGACTTGCAGCCTGGGATTGAAATCTGTTGATGTTATGCCTTTATCACAAGCCTTTCATGTGTCACCCTGATGGTCTCTGTGAAGGGATCAGTGAGATGAAAGGGCCTACTTCATTAGGTGAGGTTCATTGATATCTGTGTTCTCTGGAAGAACAAGGACACTGAATTTTAAGATACAATTTTTTATAAGTTTGAATGACAGCATGGGGAAGGGCAGAAAGTATGTAAAACTAAGATGTAAATCATGATGATTAATGCATTCAGGGTCCTCATCTACTCGTCTGACAGAAAGCCAATAGATTATTGGAAAGGATTGCTCTACCAGCTAACCATGAAACAGTGGACAGGCCAGGACATTGAGAAATTGAGATTTTGATGGAAGCAGAATGATAGTTTGTCTAGTTTTTCTGAGACTGCTTATGTGGAAGAAATAATGAAGAGGAAACGGTCACAATCTCTTTTAAAAGAAAATAGCTGTTGTATATCAAAGATCAATAATGTAGTCTAATATTTGGAAACTGAAGAAAACAATTGTCAGGAGAGCTGAAACAAAAGAACCAGAATACAGTGTACATTTGTAGGATTCACGGTTCACAACTGATAAATATGCATTTGGGTGTATTTTTATGTGGAATGTATCATAGTTAATCATGTTTTAATTAATAAAATTTAATCATATTTTTATAACCAAATGAATCATGTTTCTTCTATCAATTCAACTCCATCCTATCTCATTGGGGTACTTCATAACAAACACTGTTGTTAGGTGCCGGCGAGTCAATTTTGACTCATAGCGACCCCATGTGACAGAGTACAACAGCCTCATAGGGTTTTCTAGGCTGTAATCTTTAGGACAGCAGATTGCCAGGTCCTTCTCCTATGGAGCTGCTGGGTGGGTTTGAACCTCCAACCTTTTGCTTAGCAGCCAATTGCTTAACCATTGTGTCACCAGGGCTCCAGCAATACATTTTTTAGGCTCTCAAAAGTTGAATGGCATCCATAACCATTTCTTTGTGTTGTGTAATGTATAGTTTGAGGAATATAGACAAATAATTTGCACTTACTCTCTTTTCATTCTGCTTGTTGGATATTTATGTAGCTATAATTAAAATACTATAAAATCAGTGCTGTTGAAATGAACTCATGTGTCAGAGTAGAACGGCTCTCCATAGAGTTTCCACGGCTGTGACATTTCAGAAGAAAATCGCCAGGCCCTTCTTCCAAGGCATCTCTTGGTGAATCCGAACTGCCAACTTTTTAGCTAGCAGCCTAGCACTTAACCATCTGTACCACCCACCGACACCTTAAAATACTATAGCAGTGCAATTTTAGACTGCCCTCCTGTCTAAGTTATCTAGTGCTGCTGTAACAGAAATACCACAAGTGGATAGATTTAACAAAGAGAAATTTATTTTCTCACAGTCTAGTAGGCTACAAGTCCAAATTTAGGGCATCATCTCCAGGGGAAGCCTCTTGGTTCTGGAGGAAGGTCCTTGTCATCAATCTTCCCCTGTACTGGGAACTTCTCAGCGCAGGAACCTCCAGTCCAAAGGTTGTGCTCTGCTCCCAGTGCTGCTTTCTTGGTGGTATGAGGTCCCTCTGTCTCTGATTGCTTCTCTCTTATATCCCAAAAGAAATTGGCTCAAGACACAACCCAATCTTGTAGATTGAGTCCTGCCTCATTAACATAACTGCTGCCTATCCCCCCTCATTAACATCATACAGGCAGGATTTACAACACAGGAAAATCACATCACATGACAAAATGGTAGACAATTACACAATACTGGGAATCATGGCCTAGCCAAATTGATACACATTTTTGGGGGGACACAATTCAATCCATGACACTTCCTAACACCTGCATCACTATTTGATTATATTCCCACATGCCCTTACTTGTGCCTCAGTGAGACTTATGGTTTGCATTCCTTGATTTACATGAGGTTCAAGATACAAATACATTTAAGTATGTGAAAAATGTTTATATCTCCATATTACATATGTATTCTGAATATTAGGTTTTTATCAGATGTATGATCTGCAAATGTTTTCTCCCATTCTGTGCATGTCTTCACTTTCTGATAGGGAAAGCCCAAGAAGTGAAGCACAAAAGTTTTAATTTTCATGAAATGTAATTTATTATTGCTTTGATTGTTTGCTGTTTTGTTGTCATAGCTGAGACCATTGCCTAACCCAATCACAGAGATTTATACCTAGGTTTTCTTCTAAAAGTTTTATAGTTTTAGCTCTTATATTTCGTCCTTTGATCCACTTCGAGATTTTTTTAAAATATGGTATAAGGTAGGGGTCCAGCTTTATTCTTTTACATGCAGGCACTCAGTTGTCCCAGCTATTAAGCATCAGAGTTACTTTATTTGATTTGTTCTTCTTACCTGTCATTGAGTCGGCCTGACATAAGTATGACCCCATGCACAATGGAACAAAATGCCACTCACGTGATCAGTTACAATCAGACTATTGTGATCCAGAAGGTTTTCATAGGCTGATTTTCAGAAGTCGATCTCCAGGCCTTTCTTCACAGTCCATCTTAGTCTGGAAGCCCCAGTGAAACCTGTTCAGCATCATAGCAACACACAAGCCTCCACTGTTAGGTGGTGGCTGCACATGAGGTGCAATCACCTGGAGTTGAACCCAGGTCTGCATGGAAATCATTAAAATAATTCTTCCATTGAAATCAAATGGATCACTGGACTAAAACATTAATGCTGTTGGGATTATTAGCGTTTGAAAACAGATGACATTCTGAGGGATTGTCCCAGTCTGTGTTTGATCAGGAAAACATACAGTTACTTTAAGTATAAGAATTTATATAAATTAAGGCAAGAATTTGGGAGGAATGTGAGCAATGAAACATGAAAGCCTGCAGCTGAAGGATCACAGAAATAGTCATTGGAAACTACATCCTGAATCTCCAAGTAGGCAGAGAAACCAGAGCTCATAGGGATGTCTGAGAAGTTACTGCTCCTGGTTGCCTTGACATTAAGGATTAAGGTCTGGGAATTCTGCATCTGGTCACTGTGTTCTCCCAAGGTTAATGGCTTCTTCACTTCTGCCTTCTAAATTCCATACAGGTTTCTCTCACTCGAAAACTTGAGCCAGAACCATACACAGAAGGGTCTTTTGGAAAACATAACTCCCAGTATTCAAATTCACTGGTGGCAGTGCCAATTGAATAAAGGACAATGCACTTCCAAAAGGTAGCAGAGAAATATTGATATCAAAGTTGGAGAGGGCTTTTGAAACTTAGAGAATTAGAATGGGACCCTGTTATGGATTGAATTGTGTCCCCCAAAAATATGTGTTGTAAATCCTAACCTCTATGCCTGTGGTTATAATTCCATTTGGGAATGGGTTGTCTTTGTTAGGTTAATGAGACAGGATTAGTATAGGGTTTGCCTTGAATCAATCTCTTACAAAATATAAGAGGAGTTTAAGGAAGCATAGATGGGGTAAGATATATGCCAAGACACATGGAGTTCTCCAAGGAACCAAGAAGCAGAAGCTGAAGAGATAAGGACCTTCCTCCAGAGCAGACAGAAAGCCTTCCCCTAGAGCCGGTGCTCTTAATTCAGACTTCTAGCCTCCTAAACTGAGAAAATAAATTTCTGTTTGTTAAAGCCATCCACTTGTGGTGTTTCTGTTATAACAGCACTAGATAACTATGCCAGACCCCCATATATTTGTTCAAATATTTGTTCAAGTAACTATAGTATTATCCTTTTTTAAGAAAACAGTGACAAGAATAGACTGGAGTCTTGAGGTATGTAGTGAATATCTTAAGAGATTGGCAGTGGAAACTTGACAGTGGTTTAGAGTGATTACTGAGTGGCACTGAGGAACAGCTAATGTTGGAAGACCGCTTATTGCCCTTGCCTTTTCCTACCTCAGGCCCATCTTAGTTATTGTAAGACTGACAACCTCCTCTAACTTCATGGCGGGGAGTCGGACTCACCATCAGCATCAGCCCAAAGCTTATTCCTATGAGATGGAAGTCAGACATACCTCCTGTCTCCAACCTTTTTACCAATTCTGACACCACTCATCCCTCCCAGACACTCTCTAGTCTTCTGCTGGTTTTGATAGCTCATTGCAGTGGCCACACAGAACTCACAGACCATACTCACAGTTATGGAGTTTATTAGGGAAGTAACAGGTTACAATTCAGCATCAGGAATGACTTAGGATACAATTATTTGGTCAGGACAGCTTCTCAGACATGCCCGCAGGCAGGCCTCTCTCTTGCCCTCAGCCTCTGCCCTGCTCGAGCAAGTATTACAAAACTCTTTAGCTCCTCCAATAAGTACCTAGGGTCATCCCACTCCACCAGGAAGCCTCCTGCCCAAAGGCACTAAGCTTTCTAGCTCTGTGGGTTGGCAAGCCTAGTTCCACCAACAAGTGTCAAGAGGCACTCTACTCCACCAGCAAGCTTCCTGCCCAAAAGCACTCAGCCTTCTCCCTCTGTGGGCCTGGAAGCCCCTCATGTCATCTCTGTCTCCTGGTTCTGCTGCCACCATTTCTCTGCCTCTGCTTCTTGCCATGTCTGGTGTTACAGTTCTCCCTCTCTGCCCTGGTTATGCTGCCTTTGCTGCCTCTCTGTCCTCCGTGTTACATTCCTCTCTTTCTTTGTCTCCCTTTAAGCGTAGCGGGATGACAAAACTGACCAATCCCCCTCATTAGGGCTCCATACACTTTATTTGCATTGTTAGCAAGCTATCCAACCCCCTTGGTGGGCCACAAGCACCTTATTTGCATAGTACCACCCAGTCATTTGGTGAAGTTACAAGACCATGGCGAGAAAGGCCATATGAAAGCAATCAATCTCACTGCAGTTAATGTAGTGCTGCTGTAACAAAAATACCATAAGTGGGTAGACTTAATGAACAGAAATTTATTTTCTCACAGTTTAGGAGGCTAGAAGTCTGAATTCAGGGCACCTGTTCTAGGTGAAGGCTTTCTTTATCAGCTCTGGGGGAAGGTTCTTGTCTCTTTTCAGTTACAGTTCCTTGGTGATCACCATGTGGCATCTATCTTCTCTCATCTGTCCTTCCTTGTTTCTGTACTAATCTGCTCTTTTATATCTCAAAAGCGACTGAATTAAGACACACTCTACACTAATATGCCCCATTAACATAACAATAAAACTATTTCCAGCCAGCCCTTTATCACCACTCTTATTCATTGGTGTGCTGGAGGTCCTAGCCAGAGGAATAAGGCAAGAAAAAGAAACAAAGGGTATCCAAATTGGTAAGGAAGAAGGAAAAGTATCCCTATTTGCAGATGATGTGATCTTATACACAGAAAATCCCAAAGAATCCACAAGAAAACTACTGGAACTAATAGCAGATTTCAGCAAAGTATCAGGATACAAGATAAACATATAAAAATCAGTTGGATTCCTCTACACTAACAAAGAGAACTTCGAAAAGTAAATCACCAAATCAATACCATTTACAATAGCCCCCAAGAAGATAAAATACTTAGGAATAAATCTAACTAGACACGTAAAAGACCTATACAAAGAAAACTACAAGACACTACTGCAAGAAACTAAGAGATCTACATAAGTGGAAAAACATACCTTGCTCGTGGATAGAAGACTCAACATTGTGAAAACGTCAGTTCTACCCAAAGTGA